TATATTCACAAACACATAAAACAACGAGGATGTCAGTAAAGAGCTTTTTCTAATCTTTAACATTTTCTATTTTAACTTCGAAACACAAACCCTATGAGATATATTAAGATTCTATATTTTGTACATGAATATATATATTATACATATTCAGATATACATACTGTATAATTCATGTTGGGATTTCAGACGTCCTCACTGGTGTTGCCTGATGTTAGCACTGCATCACAGCTGATGTTCCGTTTAGCTTCAGCTCCCCCCAAATAGCCTCTTTTCTTGCCCTTTTCTCACAGCGAAAAGCAAGTTTTAAAACCGAGCAAGGCGGTACATTGAATGACGGACTAGAGGATGGAAATGCATCAGCCTTGGTGCTCAAAAGCCATTTCTTTTTGCACTCCAGTGCTTTCAGCCGTCCACCTTGTTGTGCTCTGCTCCCACAGCTCCCCACTCGCTTGCTCAATCAGATGGTACGACCCAATGAATGTCCGATGATCTCCGATGAGGCCTTTAACATGGACTCTGTACTGACGACGGTGATGATGCTCATCCTGTGGACAGGGACAGATAAGCACATGTGGACATGTGCCCAATTATCTGCTGTTTTCTTTCCTTAACAGAGCAGTTCTCTTCAGTATTACATCTTTATTCAGCGTGTCATCAGACAAACTGACCTGGCTGGCTCATGGATTCAAGTGATTTTTAATGATGATATTACCAAATACTTCACCTGGTTTGGTTTGTTTTGTCACAGGAAAACGTAAATGGACAGAAAAATGTTTTCACCTGAGAATACTGAATCCAGAAAACTTCAGAACCAAGTTTAAAGGATAAGGCTAGAAAACTGTATATAAAAGATGGATGTAGGCATGCATGACGTCACCCATTGGTTTGTGAAGTATTGTTAAGCCTTGAGCTAACAGTTTAGAGGCCACTGGGGGTGGATCTCACTTAGAAACACCGCACGCTCATCTGGTTGTCAATCGCAAGGAAGATCATGCTCTGCTTTGTTCTCTTATTTGACTGTCAGTAGTCAATATCGTGCTGTATTTAGACACTTGAAGCTAGCAATCAAGACGAACTAATTAGGAAAACGCTTACAGAGGTCATAGATAACTGGAGCCTAGTAAGTGTCCTTCCAGATTTCTTCTTCCAGTAAAATCAAACTTGTTTTTGTAATCAGAGGAGTCGCCCCCTGCTGGCCATGAAAAGCATGTTTAAGGCACCTAAACTGCATTGGCTTCTATTTTCAGACCTGTGAAGCTATGTCCATATTTTATATAGAGTCATATTATTATAACTGTCAACTGATCTCATGAAAAGAGCAAAATTAACATTTTAAGTAATGCCTGCAATATTCTCTCCACTTGCATCTTGTGAAAACAAACTGAATTTGTGCGTGAAGTTATTTAAAACTTATTTGGTATGCTATGCAGATCAGTATTTACTTCACTACAATGTTGTATGTATTAAGTGGACTCAAAATGAACTGCAGTCTATGGACTTCTATCTGAATAACTAGCCTCAGGTTCTATTTAAATCCTGCATATTAACCTCCTAAGACCCAAACTCTTCCACCGCATGCATTTTAAATTTCTCTTTGATATTTGGACATATTGGGGCCCGATGGATGTAAAAACAAAGAATTACTTTAATTTTTTACATTTTTTTTTTTTTTGCCTTATTTTTGTTTTTAAGAAAAATGAGAGCCACATAGGAGGATATTCATTTAAAATTTTGATAGAACAGTGACAGTGTAATGTCCTCGTAAGTGGATATCAGGCCCAAAATTCAGTATTTTGGTCTAAGTAACCCAAAATGTGATGTCCACATATGTGGACGCCAGCTCCTAGGAGGTTAATAAATGTATTAATTTTAAACTGCTGTCAGAAAATAATTAATTTGGACACTTTCCATTAAAAAAATATTAATAAATTGATAGTTGAACTTGAAAAGATTATTTAAACTCACAGAAATGTGTTGTCAAATTCCGGCCAATCAGAGCTCTTCTACCACTCAGTGGGCGGATTTTCAGTTTACGGAAACTATAAATGTTTAAGCGGGAGACAGATATTGTTGGCAGTCCCAGCAATAGTCCAACTTATTAAAAGATTTAAAAAAATATTGTTTAAAGAGGAGAGAATCAGTTACTTAGGACTAATATTTAATCTTTCAGTATGTATTGAGTAACACATGCAAATGAAACAATTTATTAACAAGTTAGACTTGTTTCACTCTATTAATTTATTTTAATTCAGACTTGACGCGCTCAGTAAGTGCCCATGATGATTATATGGAATAATTGCCTCACTAATCGTTGCTTTTGAACAACATCAGAATTTAGTCCACTGGAAATTTGGTCGTTTCATGGGACTTTGTTGACCCAAAAATATTAGCACTAGCCTTATCCTTTGAATTTCATTCCTTTTTAAAGAGTAAATGGCACTATGATTCTGAGCCTGTGGAATGAAGGGGAAAAACCTGCACTGGTCTTCTCTGGCGTTTTTTTTTTTAATCTTTGTTAATGTACTGTACTGCTGCAACCATTATCTTCACACACCCCGGCTAATACCTATAGGTGTCATTCCATATGATTCCAATTGGATGCACTGCCATTCTACACCCACGTCACCCCCCTCTTTCTACTGTTCGCTGTGCATGAATGTGCCATTAGGGAACACGAGGGGCTTGGAGAGGCACAGACCAGAGATGAGGGGCGTGACTACAAGGTGCCTGAGTGGATCCATCTTTACAAAGTACAGCATTCTCATTCGCTTTTTATTTGACACGAGGTGGCCGTGTCTGTGACACAAATGGCTTCAGAGACAAAACTGTGGATTGTTTTTGTTGCCATGCTAAACATTATGCTGTTTTTTTATAGTAAAATAAACTGCTGAGAGGTTTCACAGGTACCCTGAGATCTGATTCTTGTTCATGTTCTGCTGTGCTGTCAGGTCTCTTATGGATCTAGATTGATGCTGGTGTTTACTTTGTGCAAGCTGTCGTTTTGGCACACAATACCAAAGCTACGGACTTGAATAAGAAACAAAAGTGACCAAATGTATGTGGACACGCTGTAGCTTGGAAAGGTGCATTGTCTAAAATATCACAGGCTGAGGAAGACTTTTTCCTCTTTCAGCAGCACAAAGCCAAAATCTATAAACAAAAGGTTTGTTTAAATGTGTGGAAAGCTCAGGTGTCTCCTCTGTTTTAACTGCACTCTATCCTGGGAGTCATTTTACATGTTCACGTAGCTCACCAACAGATGGCAGGAGCACTGCATGACAGGCTTTACGCATGAGGTCCTTTGTCTTCTTTTTTGTTATTACTGATTATTGTTTATATGACGGAGGACAAGGAGGAAAAATGCTAATCTCCTGATTAACGCTCTGCCCGTTACATTATCCGTCACGGTATTAATATCTGGATTTATAAGTCAAATCAGTGGCTATTATCTCCAACAGGAATCAGTTAAGATCTTGGTCACTCCTGCTGTGCATTTACATAGCAGTGCCAGACTGTAATCAAAACTGAAGCCTCCCAATTTAAACTGAGCTCGCTCGGATAAAATAAGAATCGTCGTCGACTGTAATGCAGCAGCTGCAGGAACAACAGTGTTTCCTCTGCTTTTCTCCGGGAATTCAAACCCATGTTAGTGCAAACAAAATCTCCAGACTTAATGAATGTGACCTTTCTGAACAGCCAACCTGTTGGGCTCTAACTATGTGAGCGTTGCTACAATCACATCGTCACCACGCTGACATTCAAGTTCAAATTTGTGCAGGTCAGGCAGCACATATCTGTGAAAATGGGAGCACTTCCTGCTCAGGAGAAGCATCCCTGCTTTTTTGTTTTAAAACAAAAGTGATTTTTGTCTTCACAATTACTGCAACATGTACCAGATATCCCTGAATTTGGTATGAAACTGACAGTGCTATGATAAAAAAAAGATATCATTGTAATGGAAATGTTTTTTAATGTTCGGTGTTCCACAGCTTTGCTCACATGTTTCAAATTGAGGACCAGATCACATCATGATGTGCACGTGCAACACACACAAAAATGGCCAATATGGAGCTACTACAACTGGCTTAAAACTAGCGTTCCAACACATTTACCCCATCAAATCAAATCAATGTTTTCCACATTTCATAACTTTAACATTTAACAAGATTTTGTATTCTAATCATAACAGGTCTCTAGTGTCAAATAAATTCAAAGTTTAGATTAGAAAATTCCATTTAAAGACCTGTAAATGATCACATTCATGTTCCACACTTGGATTACTTAAATCTTTGACTTTCAAGTTTCCTATTTTACAGCACACACCCACACAACACGTTTACTGTAACTGCTGTGGAAAACATCTGAACAATCTAGAAGTTTGCGAATCACATTTCAGTTCCAATCAAGTCTGAGCCGTAGGGTAAAAAAAAAGGAGCTATTAGGTCATGTAGGTGTGGCACCCGATGCTGGAAAGCAGAGAACATTCAGATGATGAATCACACGAGAATGAAGTGTTACAGCAGTCTCTGGACAGAACAATAGTGCAGATGCCAGATGGACGTGAAAGCAAAGCTGCGTACGCGTCTATGCTCTGATTCATTTTTCACTTCTTCCTGTGAGACAGGGATCATCCAAAATAAATAAAAAATGTAAATTAAAAAAGAAAAACGTCATGACAGCCTCGGCACGACTGAAACTGCTCATGGAGAGAAAAAAGAAAAACACGACTCGATTCTCTCCCCTTCTCGTTTTGTTTGCTGTTAGTTGTTGGGATGATGCAGGAACGCCGGGAAATCACTCCATAAATCCCCGATGACGATAAATATGGCATCTTTGTGTCATAATCGTGTTAAATGTGAACACTGCCAATATCCTAAATGTGAAAGATGAGTTTTTGCTTTTTTTCCTTCTTGTTTTTGTTTTTAGAAATGGCAGCCAAGTCTGAACTGAGGGGCTCGGTGGGAGGGGAAAATAAAAAAAACAGGCCAGAGGCTGTTCAGATGATACAGGCCGCCTCTGGCTTTGACAACGCAGCTATGCATCTATACCGCTGCCAACACAGACCTGTTTATTAACACAGTCACTTGACACTGGCATATGCTTGAGGCTGTGTAGGCGAGGAAGTAGGGTACGAATGCAAACAGCCTGTTTGCGTCGGCTGAAACAGGAGCTACTTTGCGACTAAAAAAAGACACAAGTGTACATAAAAGTGGAGCGATCACCAAGCAAAATTCATAAAATCTGGAGAATTCTTCGTCAGAGAAATCAGTCGGTAAATAAATACGCAGAATGGTCTAAACGGTGACAAACACTTACGAAATAAGATACGAGGACACACACGTGCAGAAGGCAGCGTTGCATAGGTTTAAACCATGACTGAAACCAGTCGTGCACCTGATGGAGAACCAGTGGGTTTACATAGAAGATGAAAAATAACTGAACAAGTAACTGAAGTTCATGTGATTGTTTAGCCGGTGCATTTGGCAGCGAGTGGCGTCGCTTTCAATACTTGGTGCTTGCAGAGGGAGCAAAACTGCATCCGTCCTGCAGGTGGGATGGATGCACTGAAAGGAAGTCGAAAATTGTTATCGGGCAGTGGCTTCCCAGGAAGGCCCATAAATGATTCAAGCTGCAGCAGAGTCCAAACTGAGATCTGTTCACAGCTGCTGGGGTTTATTGAACAGGGCTACCGCGCTGCTGCGAGATCGCTTTTGGCTTTTCTCACTGAATCGAGATGCTTGGTTTTTTGTTGTTTGTCTCTATTTTGTTTCCAGTATTTTCAGACTACAGGTCCATTTATCCTTTGAGTTTCAGATCTTTTTTTGTCAGACATTGTAGTCCGGTGCTTTGCCGAGCGGTTGCCTCAGTCTGATCTGCAGGGTCATGAAGGCGCCCACCGCCACGTGAAAGAGGATCTGCCAGATGTTCCTCAATTCGTACAAATACATGTTGGAAAGACAGATGAGTGCAAAGGCCAGGAAGGACTTGCTGTTCCTCCAGACTGAGAAGTAGGCAAACAGGTAGCACTGAAAGGAGAAAGACAGAGAGCGTGAACGATGCGCAGACCACATGACCGGCGGGGATGTTTTTCATAAGAAATCCCATTTGATGTCTCTGTGCCCATCACTGTGTCTACCAGTCTGCGGTGATCCATTTAGTATCAGGAGCTGCACAAAAAAAGCTGAGCAAAATCTTTTAGAGAAGGTACTGGACCGAAAGGCACTGAGCTTTTGCTAATGTGTAGCTGACAAGCTGCTGAGCTATAAAGTGCAGGGCTGTTAGTCAGCCAGTGATGGGCTCCCCTTACCGCAGACTATCACTTACCTGATACAGACAGGCCGCTGTGCCGAGGAAGAAGGCAATCACGTAATTAAAGTCTTCATCATCATTCTGCAGACACAGAGAAAATGCTTGGGTTTTTTTGTTGTTTTTTGAAGCGCTAATCATTTATGTAGGGACAAAAAAAAGAAACCAATATGACAAGAACATGTCGAGGTATCTTTATTCATGCATTTCATGTACTGTGATCTAATCTAGTTCATAGAGTGTGATGTGACAGGTGCTCTATCAAGGGACACAATGGCAGGCATGTGGTAGTGACGTGAGCCCAGACAGACCATAATCAGTCATAAGTTTATGTTAGTCAGGAGATATTAGTGGCTCATGACGTCAAAGTTGAGGCAGGCAGATAATTAGTAAACCGGGATGAATGTTTACAGTGAAGTCTTTGCCATCATTTTCTCTTTAGAATAAATCCCACCACCTTTAAAGTCTGCGTTTCCTGACTACCTGATTGCTTTTCTGTGACGGACCTACATTCCCAGCCCTCGGGAATTCATTCGTCCTCTAAGTTTCTTGCTACAAATAAAACTGACAGCTAAAAGTATCAAACTAGAACCAGCCTTGCATTGAGCATTCATTTCCCTTTAAGAGAAACTGAATCTGAGAGTCGTTTCTAGAATGCCCTCACCTGCAGTATGCTCTCTATAGCGTGGACCCCTCGCAGCAGGTTCAGCCCCCCACAGAGGATGCTCAGCACACAGGATACGATTCCCGGGAGAGTCACCGGCTCCAGCATCTGCGTGGGAGCTGCAAGAGAACAAGGACGCAGGTCTCGGATAAATCTGCTTTCCGAAGAACAACAAAGCAACTAGATTTGACAAAATTTCATTTATATATATATATACATATAAAAGCTATTATGTGCAGGACAAAGGGAATAAATCCCTGAATGGCAAAGATAAGCCAAGAATGTGCTGTTCTCAAATCTCACTTTCAAAACATTCTTGCAGAGTAAAAGAATTAATGTGTCACTATTATCAGATTAGCATACTTCATCCCTCAGGATAAAATGATTTATGTTCTCAGAAAAACAAGACACTGGGAAGGTCCGCGGAGAGTGAGCAGAGCGTGGAGAGCTGCTCTCTCGGATGTCAGGGGGAAACACAACAGCTCCAAGTGACCCGAGGTGGCATCGCTTAGCTTGGGGCAACTGAGGTGTGACAGTGGGGAAAAGGGGTTGTTTTTGTGGACGATGTAAAGAGCACGGGGTCTGAGCTACGACGAAGCAACAGCGGAATGGATTCATTTTGAAAATGAGTATCTCATCACACAGTCTCTCTCTGCCCTTTATAATCCACCAGAAAGTAACCATTTCAAATTTAAGCAGCTGAATGACTTCTGCTGCGGATGTTTTGTTTTTTTCTTTCAATAAATATTTCAATATTTAGGGCTTAAATGAGACTTTGTAATTAAGAAATGTCTTTGTTAATCCACTGAAGATACAGGAAAATACGGCGATGAGGAATCATTTTGGTTCTGAACTGCATATTAATACATTTTAATAAAAGCAAAAGAGGCGTGAACAAACAGCTCAAAAAGCAAAAGGGACTAGGATCCTGTGGAGAGGCCCTGGGTCCAGGGAAATGTGTTTATCACAGAAAAACGTGCGTCCATGGCAGGGGTGTAAAACTTGCTGAAAGCTCTGAACTCTGGGGTAATGTTTCTGATTTGTCCAAAAAACCTCGATAAAGGATAAAAAACAGATGCTTCCTGAGGCATTTTGTTTAGGTTGAAATGAGCAAGCAAAACAGAGCAAAGCATATCAACTTGAAGTCTTCATCAGAGTCTGCTTTGAAAGTCTTTAAAGCCATGTAGCACTTCCTGTTTTCCTTCTCCAGGAACATTTTGAGGGAAAAGCAACTATGTACATCATGTCACAGTCTTGTGGTCAATACCATCAATGTTAAGAATAAAAAATTAATACAAATAATAAGATTAAATATCTAAATTGAATGTGCATGCACACCCTGTATATATATTTATGCACATGAATAAATGCATCTTTAAATGCTGTACGTATATAAATTCATTACAAGCCTCTCTCATACTTTGCACGCATACGTGTGCAGCTTATGTCCTACCGATGCCCTTGTACTTTGAAGGTGCGTGCACTGAGAATCCATTGATAGCCCGCAGGTCCTCAGGGGAGAGCTGGTAGGGCGGTCGCAGCTTGATCTCTGTCTGCATGTCAGCCAGGTTGATCTTGGTGGACAGGGAACGAGGGTTATTGTAGCGCTGTTTGGTCTTCTGGATGAAGGTGTCTGAGGGATAACAGTCAGCACAACAAAGAGCTGATTAAGTTTGTTCTCCCCGCGGTGGGGGGGAGGGACTATGTAATCAGTTTTGTTTGTTTGTCTATTTGTTAGTTGTCTCGCATCCAAGTTTTTTAAATGATCATTTTCAAATTTTGTTTGATGGTTGACACCAATAACAGCTCGAGCTCATTTCATTTTGGTGAGATTGGTTTTCGTTGTTGTAATTGGGAGTAATATGGGAGGCCCGTCCTCAAAAGCCTCTTTAAAACGACGGCAAGGAAAAAACCTTTTAGGTAACGATGACTGATGTAGTGCTTTTGTTTCGCAGGTGAAGTCATAAGTAGGTTTGGTAGGTTAACTATCCAATCAACTAGCATAAAATACTTTTTGACTAGTCCCAGGCCATCAAACTCTCTTTTTTGTATCTGAAAGTTACTGACTGTGACCCCGTATTGTAAAATTTGTGCACTACCCAGGAGAAACTTTAAAAACTGAATATTGTAAAGAATGAGGCCAATTTTACATCTGATAGGTACCATCAGACATGGCACCCGTTTTAATTTGAAAAGCTGACATCATATTTCCCACATGGTCGTTTCGGCTGAAACACACAGTTCCACGGACTCACCAAATTCGATGAAGGAGTAGGGCCGCATGGCACTCTCGATCCGCTTGGTGTCATAGGTGACAATAAACTCCTTCTGTAGCTCATCCAGGAAGCAGAAGGCCAAAACATTGGGATAACTTGCAGTGCATACCATCAGGTATCCAACGCCCAGCGAGCTCATAAAACTGAAACACACAAACACAAATATTATTGCTCTAATGCAGCGCGCCACTCTTCCTCTCGACAGAAACCCTGGGAATCTGTAATTAGGACACAAAGCTATATCCAGGGACACAAAGGCATTTCTGACTTCTGCAGGTTGCAGCTCTAAACACAGAGCAAACACAATTTAAGCGCATCTCTGCTTCAACGCCACACTTTCACAGTTAATTTAACACAATGGCTCGCATCCAAATCCACCTCTGCAGAAACAACTATGTGCTGGCCTTGCAGTGTTAATTGATACACTAAGTGCAAATTAAATTCCCCAAACACAAAGACGTTCACATTACCAGAATAGCTCGGAGCGCATCTGAATGGATATGAAACCTGAATGTCAATAAAGAGTTGAGACTAATATGATGATTATCATGGAAAGAAAAACTCGCGGTGTTGACGATATCTGAGGAATGAGAGTCAATCTGATCTGAGTAGCCACATACATACGCATCAGAAATTGAAGCAAATGACTCACGTTTAAGGGTGGGATGGAGGCGGGCCCCTTACCCACAATTTGAATTGATGGATTCATTTTTATTGTGCCCTTTAGTTTCACAAGCTGCTGGTGCATATATAATAAACACTGAATTGAACCTGTTGCAATGTGCTTTACAATAAACCCCTGGACAAATACCGTACGTTTACCAATATCTGTCTCGGAGCTGCCTGACTGTGCCTATAAAACCTCACCGAATATTAGAAAATAAATCATAACTCCACTGTGGGTAACAGCTAAAATAAAACTGGATTAAATCCCACGATATAACTGATGATTCATAACTGTGACTTACAGTGCGAGTATGTTCAAATATTACAGAAGTAAACTAGTCCCTAAATTGCTTCCAGTGATGTGCATTCTCTAAATCACTGTGTAAAACTTGGGGCATTAAGCAAGCGAGCCAATGTTCTAAAACCTCCTGGATTAAATCTGCTGAAAAAGGAATTTCATCTAGCTTTCACAACACACAAATATTACAGACATGACAAGGGCCACTGAAGAACCGGGAATATCACAGGACAGATTAACCGGTGACTTTAAACGCCGCCTCTTTCATTTTGAACTTCAGCAGCCTTTAGACGTCCGCACTCCTCAGAAGCTTCGAGCTCTCGCTGATTAGAGAGACGTATCAAAAGGAGACTCTGTGGTTGTTGAAAGGTATAGCCGGCCCATTGATGGTTGGCGGTGAGGTTCTCTAAGGTCATGTCCTCTGTCGTAATAAGACTAATTAGCTTTTAACAAACAATGCTTGAGAGTTTCAAAGCCATTCCCTAAGCACAAGCAGAGCTTTCAGGAACCGTCTGACACCTCAAATGAAGCCCGAGCTGTCAAATCGCTCAAATTTAAACGCTTTTTCTGTATTTTCTTTAACCACATGTGTGTTAGAGGGGTCAGAAAGAAAGCAGTAAAACTGTCAACAGCAGGCTATTTCACCACCCATGGGTCATTAAAAATGCATTGTCTAGATTTTGGTTTTATACCGGGAATTGAAGATACACTGAGTGAATGCAGATGCTTAAAAATGCGCGAATAATTCGGCCCTTGTCCAAAAGAGGTTTTAGTCAAAATCAAAGGAAAAACTAACCCTATTCCTTTAAACTAATATTATCTTTACTCAAGCCAAACAGACCTTTTTTTACACCAAAACGGCCCATTTGAAACGTGTTAATACCAAAAGTTATTTAACATTTAACAGAGCAGAATCACTGGATATTTTGCTAAGAGTAAAGACCTACTTGATGTTGTATGGTCCAGTCCTAAGTGTGCAGCGGTCAGGAAACTGGCCGAGTTTCTTGGAGAGACCTTTGAGGAGCCTCTTTGTTTCCTGAAGCTCTTTGTCCTGCTCATAATCAGTGGATGCTGAGAGAGGCAGGCCGTCCCCGACTCGGACCACAGAGGCAAACAACACCATCGACATCTTACAGCTCTGGCAGTCTCGCTGAAGGCCTGCAAACGAGGGAGATGGCACAGATCTGTGAGTGCAGCAAGGAAATGTTCTGCTTTTTCATCATTGAACTTGGGATTTTGATGTGTTGACAAAGCTTTATAGATTTCATGACAATTTAGACTAAATGACTAATACTTCAGTAAAAAAAACAATGAAAATTATATTAAGTTGCAACTCAGTCTTTGGTCACAGCATTGCTTTCCATTTATCACTCTACAAAGGGCAGAAAAAAATCAGTTCCTTATTAAATTCTCAAATATCAGGTTTTTGTAAATGTACAGTGTTTTGGGAGGTTTAATAACAAACTGAGATGAACACACCGAGCACTCAGACACTGACTGTTTTCCTCTCAGGATAATATAAATTACTGTGGTGACCTCTAACCTCACTTGACTGCTTAATGGATAATGTCTGCACACTCGTCTATCCGAACATGAAATATTTAACAGTTTGTTTTAGTATTCAAGCTACAACAGTGCAATTAGTTATTTATATAGATTTTTTTTTTTTAACTAACTAATTTTTTTAGCATTCAAAATCTCCGATCACTGGTATCTACTGAGAAGCTGAGAATGTGCGCTAGCGGGACACTTTCCACGTTTGTCCTCCTGCATGCGATTTGAATTCCGGTCAATTTCCTTCCTCCTTGACTGACAAGTCCACAGGATCCGTGACGTGAGCAGAATCAGCGAAGTGTCAGGTACCACAACTAAGAACTACCTTCAAAACCAGACCAAGGTCGGATGAAAAGACAAACAAAACAGGGAATATCTTCTATATGCTTTTATCACAGCACTTAGAAACAATATCAACGCCAAGTGTCGTCCGTGGAGATATACTATATAATAAATATTTTAAAGCAGCCATCTACTTGTGAGTAATACAAAAGCAGCATAGAGTGAGAGTGTGAGTACTTCCGGGGGGGGGG